TCTGAAGCAGTTTCTCATTCGTACCTGGAAATTTAAGAACAGGGAGAACATTAAGACCTTCAGACAATTGAAACTAAATCTGCAAATTCTGCAGTTGGCCTGCGCTGAGGATCTTTATTAGCTGAACACTGTGTGTGCCGTCTGTGAACGACTTCACAGGAATGCATTTGATTTCATTTAGGTGATATTTTGTAGTAGTGGTATAAGAAGCTGTCATGTGAAATGTGTAACGTGAAATGAATGAAAGGTGTCAATCGTGGCATTTAATTTATAGTAGATTTGCTTTATTACATTACATCAGATTTCTTTTTGAGTGTTGTGAGATGATTCTGCGGTTTGCAGCGTTGAGCATTATAACCAATCACACATGATCCTCTTGAGCTTATGAATGCAATATCCAATCAGAGGCGTTTTGATTCTTCACTGCGGAGAACTCTGGAGTTGTTCAGTGTGCTCTCTCCGTTTTAGACGGAGTCATGGAGGCCTGTTTCTTTGCGTTATTTATTCCCAGTTTGAATAACCGTTTTGTTTGTCATGCTGCTGAAATAACAATATTGTGAAGTCTTGATTGTCTAATCTGTAAAATGGAATTCATAAACAGTTAATGCTTTTCCCCTTGAAACAACACACATACAATTCAATTATTAATATGCTATAAAATGGATGGAAATGTTTTTAATGATAAAAGAGCTTGTTTTTATTAAAAGCCAGACTTAATATCTCATCAAAGCATGTTGTTGTTGTTTTTTCAAGGACACGTTTGTTTCGTAAGGTTTCAAGATTGGCCAATGAAGGAGTTGACATTCAACATGAAGTCATCATATTTGTGTGGTTTCGGGGTATCATATGATATTTAAATGTGAATATTAAGATCCTGGTGAATGTAAATGGATAGAGGTAACAACTAATTGATTTATTTGTTCATATAACTGTTTTTAAAAGTTACCGTGTTACAATAGCAGATGCACAGCAGGCATGTACTGTACTGTACTGAGACGAGAGAAAATAGATTATTTGTTTTCCAACGATATATCAAACTACTTAAATGTGAATCTTGAATAAAAGTAGGGCTGCACGATAAATCACATGCGATATTTAATGCACATCTTGTCAGAAAGCCGGTTCTGTAATCAGCGGTAAAATCTCCATCACATGCGGCATTAATTACACAAAGCCGTTGTTCACTGACGAGCTGCGCAAAAAATCGCGTGACTATGATCGTGGTTTTGCGCAGCTCGTCAGTGAACAACGGCTCTGTGTAGTTAATGCTGCTCAATGTGAAAGCCCGCAGGGGATGGAGATTTACCGCTGATTACAGAACCGGCTTTCTGACAAGATGTGCATTAAATATCCATGCGACCCATCACATGCGGCATTAATTACACAAAGCCGTTGTTCACTGACGAGCTGCGCAAAAAATCGCGTGACTATGATCGTGGTTTTGCGCAGCTCGTCGGTGAACAACGGCTCTGTGTAGTTAATGCTGCTCAATGTGAAAGCCCGCAGGGGATGGAGATTTACCGCTGATTACAGAACCGGCTTTCTGACAAGATGTGCATTAAATATCCATGCGATTTATCGTGCAGCCCTAAATAAAACTTTATTAACAATAACATACTCACTGTTTGTTGTATTTTTTTAATACAGTAATTGTTGGTTTGCGTCACCTCCGTCAGATGAATATTTTGATCATATTTGATTGATATTTTATATTTGTTGAGGAATTGTTGGTCACATGTGAAAGTGTATCTGTCTGCTAACATGAGAATGTGTTTTGAAATGTTAAAAACACATTGATCTCTGTTGAAGATAAAGTTAAGTTTATATTACACAGTGCAAGGTAAAAAGCACATTTTGATAAAAGAGAAAAGTTGGGAGGTTGAATCAAAGCATAGCTCAGTAGCTTAATACATGCAAGATTCATGAATAAATTAAGACACAAATGTAGTTTCATTTGTCTCAGCACAAGGTTTTATTTTTTCAATATTTCACACTGTTTAGTCCCACTTCTCAAGAATCAGTTATTTATAGTTCAGGGAACAGACACAGTCTCTATAGTATGATCTCTAGGTGAAAGAGGCTCTGTAAAAACAGAAAAGTCCTGAATAAACAGGAAAAACGGAGATGTGATTAAAGTTTGTGTCTCTCAAGCATCAGTCGTCAGCACCTTTATTAATACTTGTTTGGTATTTCTTATTAATTATCAGATGGTAAATGCAGTGTAAGAGGTTTTGGTGAGGGCGCGGCTGCAGCTCCACATTATCTGAACGAACTAACGAGAATATTAAATATGACACTGAACATCATGACATAATCTGCAATAAATCTTGTGAAACACAGCAACACACCAGTACTGGACACAGTGTCAAATAATGACAAATAGTGAAGTTTTTCTCATTCATTTTCTTCATTCAAATCCACGCCAGCGCTCATATTCATAAAAACTGTCTTTGACGTGGAAAAGTGCCTAGCATCACGTCAGGGTCTGAGCAGACGTACGCACTTTTTCTTGACGGAGTACTGCAGGTTTTTGGAAATGTAGGCTGTTCTTGCGGCTCGCTGTTCTAAATTAAAGGATTTGGACGATGACTGGTGATCTTTTATATGTTAGTGACATTAATTAGGAGTCGTTTTCAGGGCTGGATTGGTAATCGGGCATACCGGGCATTTTCCCGGTGGAAATTTTTTTTTGCCGAAGCTGTCACCAAACTCCTCTTTGCGCTTTAAATCGTACCATGATGTTGACATCACCAGTGTAAGTTTTCCTTGGGTTTGGCTTGTGAACAGGAACCCTATGTACGTAATTTGGGCGTATGTGGGATGCACGCGAGCGTGAGTGAAGTTTGATGTCGACAGGCGGCTGATTAACCAATGTCTTTGCTTCTGACCATATTAATAAGCAAAAATTACTCGAGTCTAGACGAACATTTGTGTGTCTTTTTTTATTGCTGAAGTGTGTTGAAATGTCTTCTGCATTCTACTGTACGTGTGGTATTCTGAATAATTCTTATAATTATAATTATTATCAGTTTATTTTTCTTCTATGTATATATTTCTTGTGATATGTTGCAGAATTATCACTATCCATTTTATTATGTATTTCTCTGATTTACATATGTTTCTCCTTTAAGGGATTATTTACCGATTAATATTTGACTTCTATAATTATTATAATTACTGTGTTA